AAACGGGTCGTGGGTTCGATCCCTACCAAGTCCAACATGTTTATAAAGAATCTATAATTTTTATAGAACACGGCCCGTCTGGAAATCAAAATGGGGGGTAGGAATACCGGAATTCCATCGGAATCATGGAAAAACCAACAAATGAAAAAGCCGTCCAGTTTTATTGCGTTTTGGTTTCCATCCGTGGATTTCCGAATATCCAAAGTCAAAATAGGTCAACGGCGCATTTTGTCTAGATGTGGTTATCTCACCTACTATCAACCTTACGCTTTACTGCCCTTAACTATCATAAAAAAAGTAAATTTCTCAATGATTTTCCTACGCTGTAAGTAGCCTACCATTATCTATTCTCTAGCCTTATTAAGTTAGTAATTGCCGTCATATAAGGGGCAAGACCGAGTTTACAGCTTGTACATAACACGGCTAATGTTGGACACGTAATTACTTACGTGAGTTTTAGTATTGCATTTACGACACTTGACACGCAGTCTCGTTTGCAACAAAGCTTTTGAAAGGGTAAGTCAAGTCAATCTTTAGTAGGAATCTATGTTGAGTACATTCAATGTAGCTATATTTGTAAAACTTTGTCTCAAACACTGTCACCTTTAACGGTTTAAAACGCGTTGTATATTAGATAAACCTATTTGGAATTGATTTGGGGTCAATCTCCCCGTGACCACGGCTGTTGAAAAGCATCTAAAACGTCGGGCTGTAGTTGAATTTCAAATAAGTTTAACTAGTTTTATTAAAATTCACTTTATTTATCTTAATAGGCGTTATTGAATCTGTCTAGGGAGTTGAGTTGAGTTAGTAAATCAAAATTTAGTATAAAGATTCAAAATGTCGTCAAGTGTTAATTTGCCCTGTATTGTTTGTATGTATTTCCCAATATGGATGGTTCAGCCATAACATATCCACCGCATATCTTAATTAGATATCTATCAAACGATCTCGAAGTCTGTCCTCATAATTACTAAGAATATAAATTTGAATTGAAACAATATTTTGTGTTGGATAGAGTTTTTATCGAGGAAAGTTTTATATAACACCACTCTGCGACCAATAGGAATGAAGCAACATTATTTAAGATTAAAACAAGGGGACGCGGTCGACGTCATGGGTAACAGGTAGAATTTATAAAGCTAAAAAGGTTGTTTGCAGTAAATTTGATGCCCAAAATAACTATTACACGCAGACAAAGTCGCGGGCTAGCTACTTTATTATAAAAATATGTATCGAATCTATAGTATCTTATTCTTGTATATTAATATGATCCTCCAACGGCCGCCATTTTCACCAATGATAGTTATTAGAGGTTGAGAATAGGACAACATTATTTTTCATCTCCCAAATAGGGTGTTCACCCTTAAATTTTTTTAGAAAAATTTTTATTTCTTTTTTTTAATACAACATACAAAAATACAACCTCAATTTTCACCCTTTCTCACCCTTTTTTTTTGTTTAAATTTTTATTTGAAAACAACTTTGCCAGTTGTAATATAATACTTATTTGATCGTAAATATTTATTTTAATATCTACAACTACTTTACTTAACTAACAAAGGAATTGAATTTCCTTTCTCAGATTTTCTAGTGTAATCGGAAGAAGTCAACGCCAACGGCATTAGGTAAATAATAAAACAATATCGACTTATTTAATTCTTAGGAATAAATAAGATCTATTTATCGATTGATAATTTTATTTACACTGCGATATTTTATTACACTTTTATTACATTTTATAAAAAAGTCATATTTATACTGTCTGTGGTTTACGCGAGTAGTACACATTTAAATAAAATACTTTAACGGTTTAAAACGCGATATATATTAATTAAAATTATTATAACTAATATGAATCTCGTTTCGGATGCATTTCAGCAGTCGTGGTCAAGAGGAGTCTCCCCACGTTTCTATTAAAGTGGTTTATTTAAATGTATTTTTTGCCTAGAAGAAGTCTGAGACGAAAGCCTTATAGATAACTTGTTTTAATAACTTGGGTATTAATACAATTATTATGCCTTAAACTACTTTGTTGAAAGCTGAATTGGAAATATCATATGTCGTGTTAACTGTGACCGTTGAAGGGCTTCTCTGTTAAGCTACGACCAAGTGAAGGGAAGTCACGAGATCGTGACACCGCGAGGTCAAACACCCTTTAAGCATCGCGGCTCTAATTCCCCGTATGCGTCAAGCCTGCTTTTAAAACAACAATTAAAATACAAAAGTCAGAAATCCAACTAATATCCAGGTTAAAATGGACCACAAAAATCCATTTATTAATTTAATTTCAATACAAATAAAGTTAAATCTGTCTAAGTTTACGCGACGTATGTACACATTTTCAATATTTAAAACACTTTATACGGTTTAAAACGTCGAAATCAATTAGTTTAAATCTTATTTAAAAACACTGATTTTTAACTTCTGCCCGACGTTTTGGATTGCTTTGCAGCCAACCGTGGTCACGGGGGAGACTAAATCTGGAGGATGTCTTACTGCGTTCAAATTAAAAAATTGATTCGCTAGCATCTGTTCCGTCGAAGTTGGTATCTGCAGAAACTGGCCTGGTAAACCTAACAAAATTAACTAACGGAATGATTCTTCGCGTTTGCCGGTATGCTGTAAAGAATTATAATGGGAAATCCAGACGTTTTTAAAATGGGGTTCCAGGTATCTTGATAATTTGAGGCCGTTGCCTCCCTATTGAAATTTCGGTGGAACCTATTTTGATTTCAATTGATTCGCGTACCAATCTGGAAAAAATTCGACTCGGTTTAGCGAGGATTTTAGGTTGGTTAAAGCGAATGTAGTGATAATATACATTTTTAATTGTATCTCTAAAAAAATAACTAAATTACCTTTAATACTGTTTGTGGTTTGCGCGAGTAGTACACGTTTAAATGACACTTTGAACGGTCCGAGACATCGGGCCGTAGTTAAAATAATTTGTAAATTCGTTTAACATTTTACGTTGCAAACAGTTAAAAATTTAAAAATCGAAAATAAAGTGAATAAAACATGGCTGGACTTGAACCGGCAACGTCAATTGAAAAAAAAAAACAATTTTCAATTTTTTTTCGTTTTTTAAATTATATAGTGCCTTCATGTGCAATAACATGTAAAAAAAAAGTTTTCAAACGTTATAACTTTGTAATTTAATCTTCAATGATTCCATAAGCTGCAAAGCATAAGACGTTGAACCTTAATTAGCAAGTGTTAAGGTTGAAATTACACTGCGCGAGAGGTGCATGTATCAATAAGTTGAAAAAATTCAACGATGAGGTGTAGGACTCGGTAGCTCAATTGGTAGAGCAACAGCACGGAACGCTGACGATGCCGGTTCAAGTCCTGCCCGAGTCGAACATATTTTCAATTTATTTTTAATTTTTAAATTAAATTAAAAATAATAAAGTTTTCAACCGTTAAAAGTGTTTTATTTAAAGTGTGATAAGAGTGGATCTTCTATATAAATCTTCACTTGTTTAGTAACGAACGCGATGAAAAATTGTTAGTTATTGAATAACATTTTCTTTTGACTACGCATCTTTTAACTTTTCAAAGTAAACCCCGTGCCGAGCCGGAAAACTCCACGGCCTTCTAGTATTTCCAATAGCGTATAAAAGTCCAGAGATACCGGATATCTTGTTTGCTGAAGGAACTCTTCACTTGTCGTAAATGGAAGCTCAAAGGAGTCTCGACTTTGCAATATAATTAGCCTTTTATCTAATCTCGTAGTTGAAGCTCAGCATCCATTATAATATTATAAAGTGGAACTCGCTTGTTCGGTTGAACGCTTATCTAAAAGCCTTACGCAAGTTAATAATTACATAAGGTTCCAAAATAAAATATGTAGGTATGTTGTTAGATCCAATACAATTTGTCTGTAAACTTAGTTAGCATCGTCAGGTTCGACAAATTATAAAATAGGGACGTGGCTCTGTCCATCTAGAAAGCATAGCATGTCTATAAGTCCAATAAGAACAGAAAACGAATTAAGAAGGAAAAACATATTTCCAAAGCTTTGATGTTGTGTGAGTGAATATAAACAGTGTAACTTTTGGTGCGGTTGATATAGTGGTAGTAAAAATGAGGTAATCGCCGGGTCGTGGGTTTGATTCCCACCGAAACCAACATGTTCTAGAATATAAATAGTTTTTTTTGAAAAGTGTATGATTACATCTAAAATATCTGGTTTAATTGTGATTGGAAAATTTCAAATTCTGTAAAGGTCACAAACCACCCTCTGAAAGAGGCAGAAGGCAGAAGCTGAAAGAGCAGTGGTGTTTAATCGCAAGTTTCAGTGCGATTTTCGTTTATCCGATATAAAAATACGTTGACAGCGCGTCTTCTTATACAGGTGTTTCACCTCCCATCTAGTAAATCCCTGCTTGTCTGTTCTATGTCATATAAAAAAAGTTTCAAATTTTGTGCAAATTTTTTAAGCTGTTAACGAATGCATCCTACATCTAATGTTCTAGCGAATACATTTTCAATAGTTATCTAACAGATAAAAGGGAGTAAAACCGCGACACGCAGCTACTATAAAATCCAAACTAAACAAAGCGAAACTTTGATTTAGTTCGCGTTTCGTTTAAAGCGTGTTTTTGACATTTCCATCTCGTTCAGAGAGCCATTAAACAACTTAGATTAATATTGTTCTTCTAGTTTTATTGCGTAATGCGAAATGAGAATTTTATATCTTATAACGAAATTCAACTGGACATCCATACATGCCTTGTTAGCAGGTCGCTGTGGATTAAAGTCTCGCTCATGTCGTAGATTTTTTAATCGATCTTTAATTTGTGGCAAACTATGAGTGTACCTCGTAAGGAAAAAGTAACGAATTTTTTACTAGTTCCTAACTGTTATGCGAGTTTTAGGTTTAAATTCAATCTGCCTACGAGGAAAAATAGAAAACGTCGGGTCGCCGTCAAAAACTAACTAATGTAGTTCGTTTGAAACTGTTGAAAATTGTTTATTGTTGCTTAATACAATACTCACGTTATAGTAGCGGGTGGGTTCGCGTGGACTAAACAGGGCAACAGTACATCGGCGCCGCGCCGTGAATTTGTTTCCCATACGCCATGTAAGAGGGCACGAGGGGCGGATGGCTGGGGCATACTCATCGCTTTAAAAAAATAAAAATGTTTAGTTACACGTAGTATAATCTATTCACCAAAACGAGATGAAAAGGAAACACAATTGACATCTACTGAATTATGAGGAAATTTGTGGAAAAGAAACTGTTTTATGTTGTGGAATGTGGTGTGAAGAGTTTTTTTTTCAATTATTTCTGAGTAAAGATTACATCAAGTACTTAGTTCTTACTTTTTGGACCCCTTTTACGAAGTGGGTCTATACTTTTTCTTTTCTTTTTGTTTACTTTACTTTTTTTGTAAGAGATTACAAATTGCAAATAGATACTTATCAATAACTTTATAAGTGTAGTGGAGTTACTTTAAAATACCTACATTAAATTCTACTCTTATACTCACGCGAAACTTCTACAGCGACAGGTGAACTCCTTCTTCGTTCTCCAGTAAGTGAGTCTAACACGGAACAAGAATACTGGGCTCTTGAGTCATCGCTACGTACTGCCCGTACTATGAGCTTCCAACCTTCATCCACTACCATTGTGGGACCAGCTGGAGCAAAGTTATTTTATAAAATAATCATTATCATATTTTCATGTATACATTTATCATATTTACACCCACAAGTTCAGATACCAAGTATATTACCAATGTTATCTCATTTAAATAAAACACTTTAACGGTTTAAAACGCGATATATTAGTTAAACTTATTTGGAATTGATTTTTAACTTCGGCCCGACGTTTCGGATGCTTTGCAGCCGTGGTCACGGTGAGACTGACTACTTTATCGCGTTTTAAACCGTTAAAGTGTTTTATTTAAATGTGTACTACTCGCGTAAACTATAGACAGTATCTAATGTTATCTAAGTCTCGATTGCATAAAACCTTTATATTATTGCTTGGAACACGTTTCTTTGTAGCAATAAGGCCGCTAATATTATTCCATAATATAAATATTTTTATAAAAATAATATTATTAATATTAATAATATAACATAATATTAATAGTTATTTTGGTTGATAAAAAGAACAGCCTACGAGGTCGCGAATTTTGTCATAAAGCATGTATTTTATTCAGTACATTGTTCTTAGTCTATCACCAATTTTATAATAAACCTATTATTGCTTTTATAAGTTATATACGTTGTATTTAGTTTTGTTATGTTATCTTTAGTTAATAGTAATTTTATAGCCTTCCAACATTTGTCTATACTATAAGCTTCCATTTCTTCTTAGTCCGCTTCTTTCTTTAGGTTATCTTTCTCTTTTTAACTGTGTTTCTTTCCTTCCATTTATACTCTTGTTACATGTCATCACCGATTTGAATAACGAATAATATTTACTTCGCAAAAGTTGATTGAAGGCGGTTCAATATTAAACAGAGCTCTGGTGACATTTCTCCTAATAATTACATTATTCACACAAACATTGATTTCGCGCGGTGCCTCGGGGAAATCATTTTAATCCGCGGAATAAATTTAATAACAGCGGACAATCAATCTGCACCGAGCAAATAAATTGCTGGAAATTAATAAAAACTTTTCAATTTTTTTTTCAAACAGAATCTACGTCATTCACAAGTTTATTGTGGTGAAATTCTTTATGTTTGTTCGAATGGAAATCGCATTCATTTTGCTTTTTGTTTAAGTAAACGAATTCCGTTTTAAAGCTTTTGTTGTGATAAACATTGCAAGTACGGCTTTGTATATTTTGACAGAAGTTTGGATACACAATGACTGTTTAAAAAGATTGAAAAGCTTAACTGTAAAGCTACGATGGCACTGGAAAGAAATGTTGAACTACTTACTAAATATTGTGTCTGTGTAACTAACAATTAGTGTTATTAAATTGGATTTTTTAACAATAATTAATATATTTAAAAGCTTTATAAGTTAAGACCTCAAAGAGCTAATTATATCCGATAGACTTTGTTACTGACATGATTTAACTAATTATTTTAAATCACGAATTTATTTTTTCTTGATAAAAACTAGTTTATTACATTTTTAACAAACGAATTTTACATAGTAAAGATGGACTTAAATTCAATATAAATTTAAAACGTTTATTTAAATGAATCAGCACCAATATTCTCTCGATCAACAAAATCACTCGTAAATATTCGAAACGCCCTTGTTAGTCGAATTGAAGATAAAATGACACTATCAATTTCGCGTTTTAATCCGTATAAACGATCTATTTGATAATAGGACTGCCTCATTGATTAAATTCTAAATTTTGCGTTAAATAAATAGAATCCGTGAAAGAGACAGAAAATGTATTTGCGCGGTAAATCAATAGGTAGTTCAATTACTTAGAGCGACAGCACGGAACGCTGGTAGATGCCGGTTCAAGTCCTATCCGTGGAGTAATTTTTTTTTTTAATTTAAAATCGATTTTTAATTTAAAAAATCGAAAATAAATTGAAAAAATTTTCGATTTTTAAATTGTATAGTGCCTCATGTGCAAAAACATGTAAAAAATAATAATAAAGTTTACAATCGATTTTTAAGTTATGTAGTGCCATCATGTGAAAAATATTAAAGTTTTCAAACGTAGATTTATAAATAATTCGACTTACACATTTGGTCTCCAGCTGAAACCACATTGTCGTCCTTGTACCAGGCAGCAACGGTTGCGTGTTCTCGAACTGAGGCAGGTGCAACACAGCTTAACAGTGCTGGTCCCCCCATTTCTGCTGACGTGGATGTCACGTGAACCTGCCACTCTTGCCAGACGACTGTTGACAATAAACGATATGTCATTATTCTGTTATTGCGACAACCGTAACACATGCGACTTTTAAATGGATAGAAGATTTAACAGGATTGAAAACAATGTTTTATTAAACCCTATTTAGATTGAAATCTGTTAACTACACACACAGGACACGAAGCGGCATCCACATCAGTCCGTGCTGGCGCTCTAACAAAACTCAAAGTTCAACAAGCAAAACCACGTAAAACGATTTAAAAAGTATGTTAAAAAATTGGGGCCAGACGTGTATATGAAAGTAATATCTATGACACTTAGATCTCACTTATATAAATAAAACACGTTAACGGGTTAAAACGCGATATATATAAGTGAAACGTAGCAGTTTTTTCACACTAGAGACACCCTCCATCATTAGTTTCCCCATGACCACGGTTGCTGCAAAGCTATCGAAACGTCGGCCCGTTAACAATGGGTAATCTTTAAATAAGTTTAACTAATAATATCGCGTTATAAACCGTTAAAGTGTCATTTAAATTTGTACTACTCGCGTTAACTACAGACAGTAATTAAATGAAATAAAAAGGATCTTATATTCTAATAGGTGATTGCCATTATTTAAAATATTGGTTTTAGTTGTATTCGCCAAAGCCGAGTACTTCACGCAGGGCGGCTTTGGCGAAAACAACTACAACCAAGGCAGAATATATGGCGTAATATATATCTTCATGAATCGTAAATTCGTAACTCAGTAACCGGATCTACTTCATGATTCTTCGTAAATATTACATGTTCTCAAAATACAGACGTAAACCTCTTAACATCGACCTCAACTCGTTAAATATTCCAAAGCTTTTGCTAGAGACTCAAATAACTATTATTAAATACAATACTCAATGTAACAAGTACAATATATTTTTGACTATAGTAAGGTAAATAAATAGAAAACTTTAAACGGTTTGAAACGCGAAATAAATATTATGTTTCCCGAGAATGTATGACATGTACTACCAAATATAATTATGCTAAATTCATTTATTAAAATACGGCTGGAATTTCGACCACTAGTAGACCGCTACTACAGTATTAAACGCGTAATAATTAATTACCTAAATCCAGTAGTGTCTGTAGTTTACGAGATTAGAACACATTGAAATAAAACCCTTTTAACGGTTTGAAACGCGATATGTATAAGTTAGACTTGTTTGAAATAGCGCTAGAATAGCAGTTTTTACTTTGACATTAGGACATTCCATCTTTACTCTTTAGTCTCTCCGTGACCACGGGCTGCTGCAAAGCATTCGAAATGTCGGGCAGTTAAAATTAACCGAAAAGAAACCGTTAAAAGCGTTCTATATAGTATTGGCGTAAATTACAGACGGTAATGAATTGTTCTCTTCTCGACTTTAGACTACAGTATCATGTTGTTTAAATGGTGTCCAAAAGATTACTTAAATGTACAGAAGTAGAGTTCATAGATGCAAAGATATTTTCCGCCGGGTGTAAAGTTTACACTGAGGTTAAAACGCTTTTCTCTATTCACGAAGTTCAAACAAAAAGGTTTTTCACTTAATTGAAAGTGCAAGCTCAAAGCTTTTTATAAACTTACTGTTTTTTAATCAGCCGGGAACCTCGGGTGTTAAGTTTATGTTGGTAATTTTAGTTTGATAGTTAAAATTAAATATTAGTTGACCTCACAGAGTTCAACTCTTATAATTTTCGGGTAATTCTTAAAAGAGTGCACTATACAACTTTCAACACAATTTAAACAAGGAAAGCAAGTTTAGCATTGAACATATATGATTTAAGAATATAGTAATTTGAAATTATATGCAAAATGATAATTACAAGTGTTACTAAAATGCCATACTTTTTAGAGTAATAAAACTGTCATAGAGATCCAGTGGTTATAATGTTCGATTGACAAGGGATCAAACCAACTATTTTACAGGTAAAGATAACGCTTTTTGTGTGGTTACCATGGTAACCTTTAGATATACGTAGTAAGTTTTATTTTAAAGATATTCAATTGTAATGTATCTATACTAATATATAAAGAGTTTGTTTGTTTCAACGCGCTAATCTCAGGAACTAGACTCTACGGGTTCGAATTGAAAAATTATTTTGGTGTTGGTAAGGACATTCATTCATTAATTCGAGGAAGTCTATAGGCTATAAAATATCGCACTGTGGCGATTGTGGCGAAATTTAATAGAAGCGAAGATACAGCGTGAAAAGTTAATAAAACGAGGGAAATTTTTCATCTTCTTTAAATGATTAGTTTGCAAGTACGACGAGAATAACTATTCTACTAAATACGAATCTACGCGGACGAAGTCGCTGACACAGCTAGTTATTGATATAATCAAGATTAATTTAAAATAAGGCTATGGGCAAAATAATGAAGGTCCATCATTGTCTAAAATATACAGCAAGTCACATTTTTCGTCATAGTAATTCTATCTGTAGGCAAAGGTGAAGTCACAATTATCCTTATTTCTTGGCGAGCGAGCATCTCGTTAAACATTCCTTTGAAGTATCAATATAATCAAGGTCTGATAAAGTATAGGCAGCTCGGATAGCCGCCAACTTCTTAATACGGGCTCGTTAACAAACCTTAAAACATTCGGCTTTAAAATCCTAACCGAATCGCAGCTGTGTTAATAATCCTAATCTTGAGTTAATAGATGCAACGAGATTTTATTTATGATTTGATATTAGACAAACACATCTATGTTAACACTAATAATATAACTAGCAGACCGGGCAAATGTTTTTTTTTTGTTATATGAAGAATTTTGACTAAACCTGATTACCATAAAAACGGTTCTCGGTGAGTTAATCTTAAAAGATAGACAGACACAGACTATCGCGGTATTTTTTTTTTAATTAAAGAGAAATCATTATTTTATACATTTTTTTAGGTTATCTTGAAACGTTTTCGCAGCGCACACAACGGAAACTCTCACAGATAAATAATTTTTCCCCACAGTTTTCCACTGTCATGTTATAACCTAAAGCTTACCTCGATAAATTCTCTAACTAAGACAAAAATATTTTTTCAATTCAAACTAGCAGGTCCTGAGATTCACCTTTAAAATATTAGTATAGATAATAACGAATAATGATATTAGTAAACATACATACAATACACGTATCAATGTCTTGAAGAAGTCCGTTGGAGACGAGCTAGATACAGTAGCACATTTAGATAAAGCAGCAGGGATAGGCGATCGACTGAACGTCAATTTTTTATCAATCTTAAATAGATTTGTAATAATAAAATGTTTAATCGCCACAATATAAAGCATGTCTGTGGGCGTTAATTATTTAATAACTTTATATTAATTGACTTTAATATTTTTTTATCCTATCATTCACACAGTGAAATAACAAGTTACTTGGTAACGATTATCGCAGCCAACCGGCGGTACACCGAGCCGTGAATTTCAACGCTTTCAAAATTAATTCAAAGTAAAGTTTTGAATAACCGAAGTGACCTTACCTCGGGTCCTGTTTAAATTTGATGCTCAGCGATTCAAACTCATTTGAGCCTGAATTTTCCTCGCGTTTTCCTTACACGTTTATTTATTTTGAAGTGTTCTTGAACGCCTTCGGTAGACGTCTTTGTTTATATTTACGGCTTTCTATGATGTTGAAATGTTATTAGAATAGCTTATGGAGAGATGGATAGAATAGCTATTGGGTCCACCAATAGAAGGCTATCAGTCCAAATTTCCTGCCATGTCCATATCATATCAGTGAGAAGTCGAATTTTCGTTCTCGTTAATTTCAGTAAGTGTTTTGTCTTTTTATTTATGCTGTATATGTTTTTCTTCTACTGTAGACAGATTCTATGGACAGGTATAATACCTGTCCATAGTTGTCATCAGTTGCATTCTTCTATATTACTGTATTGAACTATTCTTGATTCTTTTATAAGCTAAGGAAGCAAGAAAATGCATATACATTTTCTTGGCATTCAAAATCGCAGGCAATTACTACATCTCCTTGACATGTTATTTTTTTACATTTATAAATATTTCGTAACTTCTAACTACAAAATAAAATCAGTGATATTGTACATAATAGTCTACAGCCATTTATGTTTGCGTGTTTATCTCGATGATATAATAAAATAATACCAATGTATACAATCTTACGTAATAGTAATGAACGAATAATTTAAACATCATTTGTTTTTGTTTGTAGACAATATATATATATATATCTGCAATACAAATCTAAGTTAATAGAAAACAAACAAAAGGCTTCTTTTAAGCTAAACACGTTAACGCTATCCGTTAGAAAAATCTTTCTAACACAAGATACAAAGTGCTGAAGTTAGTAAGGGTGCAAATGTTTACCGCCTCCGAGTGTACAATAAGCTCACACTCGCGACACGAATGACGGTAGTTATAATAAGCGTACGGAGGGTTGGTAAGGATCAGCTCACATAAAATTCAGTATTTCTTGGCGAAGTGAGCAACAGTTCCGCGTTTTTCCAACCAGAACGGTTTAATTGGATCAGGAGGGAAAGTTCAAATGCTCCCTCATTTCAAAACGTACTTTATCTCGTATGTTTTACTAGCTACCCTCACCGATACTGCGGTACTACCTATAGGTAATGTTTGATTACTTAAATTTGTGTTTTGTAATTTAATAAAAGTATACCTAGAGCAAAATAAGTAAGACATACAGTATTTTCAAGTAAACAATTGTTAATAAAAATATAATCAGAATAATAAATTGTTTCCACTTAATTTCTCAACAAATAAACACCCATCAGTGACAGGTTGATTAAAATGTAGCCCTTTAAATAAAACACTAAGGGTTTAAAACACGATATATATTAGTAATACTTATGTGTCTCCCCGTGACCACGGCTGCTGCAAAGCACCCGAAACGTCGAACCTAGTTAAACTAATTTTCAAATATGTTTAACTAAAATATATCGCGTTTCAAACAGTGTTTTATTTGAATGTGGACTACTCGCGTAAACTACGGACAGAATTTAAGATTTATCCTGCTATTTAGTGAGAGAAATGAA